AGCCTTACGTGGCTCGCCGCATCTATCCTGTTATCATATGCAAATATGAGAATATCATTTTCAGATATGAATCACAAATAGGATAAACAATCCTCCGACCAGAAACCCCCCGTTAACTCAATTCAGGAGAAGATCACAACATGCAACAAATTACCATACCCGGAGAAGACATCAACTTCCAGTCGTGGTCAAAACCATCGCAAACTCTTTGGGACCCATTTGCACATAACCAAGCCATCAGAACCGAATCCCTCTAATTCAACTAATTCACACAGACTGCCAAATCCAAAAAGTATTTCCACAAAAACGCTTGTGAAGCCCTATTATACGGAAGGAATCGATCATATCCATTACCATACTGACCGGAGCCACTGCTAAATTGACCCAACTTCTTTAGACTTCTCTTGAATTGCCTTCAAGATAACAACCTCAAACAGAAATGCCCGCTTGATACACGCCGGATGAGCTTGCCTAACAATTTTCAAGTCAACATCATAGCATTGGAGTGCTTTGAAGGAGTCAAGATCAAGAAAGTTATACTTGTAATAATTGACTACACGTAGCTCCTTGGAATTAGCTTAGCGGTATTTGGGTCATTTGTAGCCAAATGCCCACTCTAGTATAAATAACTTTTAAAGCTTTATTTTAGGTACACTTGATGGATGATATACTTGAAAACATGCAAGTCTCACACTATATTCTTATATTTTATTTAATGCACTTACGTTTATACCTTTAATTCCTTTATTGCTTTATTTATACTTTCATTAGTGCTAAATTAGTCTTAGTTGGTGAGCAATTAGTACTGAATACTTAATTTCTTAATTACTTTATCCGTATTTTTAAGAGTTGTCAATCATTTGAGAGATTTCATAGCTTAGGGTTACAATTGGTTATGTTCATAGAGGTAATTACAATTCATATCCTAATTGATTCTTGTGCTTCCAATCAATAATAAGTCTAACTCTTATTTTCATACTTTAGAGTTACAATTGATTGAGTTCGTAGAGATAATTAAGCTTCATATCTTGATCGGTTTTTGTTTTTCCAATTAATTGTATGTCTAACTCTTATTTTTGATTCCGCGTGTTTTGCTATATCCGTATTTTCGTTCGTAGTTTGTATCATCCTTGGTATCTGATCGGAGGTTTTGGATCGTTCTATCAATCCTTGGTCTTTGTTTTGATTATCAAAATCTGAAGAAAAGAAAATCAGAAAATCGAAAAATCTTTTCAAAAATAGTATTGTTACTGTTCATCCGTGTTTTAGTTGCCCGTTATTCTTCCGTGGTGTTCCTATTGTTAAAAAAAAAACCTTTTCTGATTTCTTCACTATTTGAGTTTGCTACTGAATTAAGTTGGATTTGGTCTGAAATTGAAGAATTGGAGGTGACAAATATCGAATTCCAGCCTTTGAATTAGTGGGGTTTGATTATAGGGCTGTTGTGAAGCTTCTGGGTTTTGCTCCGGTTCTGAAATTTGAGTCGAAAACAATTGGGTGTTGTTTGTGTTCGTTGGAAACGTGATTGTGATATCGAAATCTGAAGTTTGGGTTCGTTGCAACTAATCGAGCTAGTTGCTAGGGTTTTGGGGGTTCGAAGGTCCAGGTCTGAAAGTTAGGGCTCGAAATTGAATGGGTCTTCTGATTTTGCTGATGTTTTGGTGTCGATTGAAAACTGATTCGATAGGTTATCATTCGGAATTTCTGAACTCTGTTCTTCGGAGAAGACGACGACCTGGGCTCCATTGATTTCGTGAATATTTTAACGAATTGGTTTCTGAGGATTGTTCTGTGTCGAATCGAGCTCGTATATCAAATTTGAACTCGTTTGATGAAGATTTGAGCTCACTGAAGATCGAGGCAGTCAAAGAACACTAGTTGCAAATTTGAAGAACTTCGCGGACTGATTCGAATAGATTCGAGCAGCTGAGAATTGTCGCAACGAATCAGGTTTGATTCCTTGTGTATAAAACTGAGCTCCATCTCTGATTTCTGAATGTTTTTTTTTTTGGAAGAAAATTGAGTTTCAATTTAACTTCTACTCGATCGTCTGAGTTAATTGAATTGAATCATTGAAGCCGACTTGCGTCGCTTATTGCTTGAATGAACTGATTGGTTAATTAGTAGCTACTGAAGGTTGAAAGCATGTTTGGGTGAATTCCTTTGAGACTTTGAGTTGATCTTTCTGAGTTTGAATTCAGAAGTCGACTCGAGGTTCTTGTTGGTTTGCACTGTTCCTCTTATCTTGCATCAGTATGATCGACAACTGATGTTGTGAGCCTTGTAATGCTATTCTCGTAGTTGTTGAGAGCTTGAAGTTTGGTTTTATATTTGTGTATGCTTCTGAAGTTTGGGATAAAATCTTTGAGGTTAGACTGTTGTAAGGTGCATTTTTCTGTTACAAGTTCAACTAAAGGTATTTGACAGCAAAATTCTGCACTGTTTTGAGCAATTTTTGGAGATGTGCTGCTGCACCATTTAGACCAAAAAAGAAACTAACAGAATGTACTTGTTATAACTGTGGAAAATTAGGACATATAGCTAAAAACTGTAAAGCACCTAGAAACCTAAAGAAAAAGCAAATAACCGAAATCATAATTGATGATGAAGAATATATGCAGATGGAATATATAGATTATGAACTAGATAGTGAAGATAGTGTATATGAAATATCAGATATAGAAGATGAAATAGAAGATGAAATAACTAAAGAAGATGATGAAACCTAATGACTGAAAAAGAAATAGAAGTAATAACACGAGAAGAATATAAAGATGAAGAATCCTCAGAACAAAAAATTATATTTGATAATAATATATTTGAACAAATAAAAGGAAAAGAATTAGACCTCAGTGTCGAAAAAATATTTGAAGTACCTACAATAAAAAATTGGTTCAAAAGACAAAAAGAAGAATATTACGTGGTTAGTCAAAAAGAACATATAATTGACTGTAAATATACAAAAGGAAAAGCCAAAATACCAATAATAAACAAAAGAATAATAAATAAAGAAATACAAGATATAAAGGCAAAAAATCCAATTAAATATATACACCTAGGAGGAACTGAAATACTAATAAAAGCATGTTTTAGGGAAGGAATAGATACCCCTATAGAAATATATTTAGCAGATGATAGAATAATTCAACCTATAGAAAAAAGCATAATAAGTGCAATAAAAGAAAATCTCATATATCAAAAATTCAAATTCATAATAAGTGCCAACTATTCAATAGCAATAAACGATAAGAATATAGATAAAT